AGTCACTGTTTTGACACTAGCTTCATGACTGGGAGCAAGTTCCTGCCCTTCTCTGAGCCTCAGTTTCTTCATCTGTAAAACTGTAAAACTGGATGATGTCTAAGGGCTCTCCCAGCTCTCAATCTTGTAAGCCTAGAAAAGCAAGTCACTCCATTTTACTGAGCCTCAGTTTCCTCGTCTATCTAAAGAAAATAATAACCCTCCAACAACCTCTTGGCAGGTTTGTTATGAGAAATGCATTTTGTAAACCTTATAAGCATTCTTTTATTGTTAATACTATTATTTTTATAAATAATAGGTGAGGTGAATCCAGCCTCCCACAGTTTCCACATACACACATTTTCCCTGACTATCTTTCCTCACCTCGGCCTCCCAGCTTCCTTTAGGTCCTACCCAAAGTTGTGCCTTCTCCTGGAAGCCTTTCCTGGTTCTCCTTTATCTCCGGCCCTCTGAGACTGTTTCCCATTTCTCCTGCCTAGACCTTGTCTGTCCATAACTGTTTGCTTCTTGTGACCTCCTTGAGCACAGAAACTGTCTTTCATCCTTCTTTGTATCTCCTGTGCTTAGCCTAGTGCCTGGCTCACAAATCTAATGGCAGAGACAGTATGCAAACAAATATATACAAAGCAAGCTATATACAGGATAAATAGGAAATAATTGACAGAAGGAGGGCACTAGAATTAAGAGGGTTTGGAGAATGCCCAGAGACTCTAGGAGTTTAGCTACAAAGGGCAGAAGAGATATAAGACCATAGTCTGCAGGGACAGAAAGATCAAGGGAGGGGTTTTTCAGTAGGGGGAGACATGGGCATGTTTGTAGGCAGTAGGGAATGAACTAGGAGAGAGGGAGAGAATGAAGACAAGTGAAAGAAAGAGATGGCAGAGGGGTCGATCTGTTGGAGGAGATGGGATGGAATGGGATCATCTGAGCAAGTAGAGGAGGCAGCCTTGGTCAGGAGTAAGATCACCTCTTCGTGTGAGATGGGGGAAGGAGGAGAGAAGGGCAGAAGACACTTGAGTGATAGGAGATGGGGAAGAGGTGAGGAGAAGAGGGAGTTCATGGTGAATGACCTCTAATTTTTCAGTAGAATAGGAGGCAGGGTCTCAGCTGAGAGAGCAGGGGGAGGGGGAACCATGGGAGGTTTGAGGAGGGATGAGAAGGTTTAGAAGAATCACTGTAGGCAGTGGGAAAGTGAGTTAATAAGGCAGGTATAGCAGGATTGCCTGGCAGCAGTGAGGGCCCAGTGGAGGTTGTATAGCAAGTTTGTAAAGGTCCAGTCAGAATGGCTGCATGATTCTCTCCACCTTCATCAGCAGCATGTGAGTAGGAGTGCATGGTGGGAGTGATCCAAGGTTGAAGCTTGGACACAATAGGCAAAAACAATAAAGGGCACTAGCAATCCAAGAGAGGAGGACAGTGTAGAGTTGAATTGGTTCACCAAGGGGTTAAAATGGGGAGACGAGATAGAGTGGCTGGAGCAGGGGAGATGGCCTGGGAGAGGACTGTGGAGTCAAGGGCTTGGAGGTCACGGTGAGGATGAAGAGCGGTTATGTAAGGGGAGGCAGAGGGAGAGGTGAAAACCCGAGAGATTATGGTCAGATTAGGGGATTTCAGAAACCTTGAACATGGAGATGAGGCAGGGTGGCAGAGTGACTCCTGGGAAGTGAGTAGGTTGAGGAACTGAGTGGTCAGGGTGTTTGATGGAGAGTCTGTAAGTATGTTAAAGTGCCGTAGGATGTTGGGGAGAAGAGAAACATTGTGAGCCAGGGACCAAACTCACTGAGGGAGGAAGGTGACACAATAGCTGCCAGGATTGTGATTGGGTGGGAGATATGATTGGCATGAACCTCAAAGGAGGAGAGGCCACGGAGGGATGGAGGAAGGGGAGAACCTGGAGGCAGCTAAGGGGAACCTTGACCGGTGAGGCGAGAGAATGAATGACGGTGTGGCCAGTCCTGGAGAGGCAGCCAGGGAGGCTGTGTCTTCAGGGAGAAGCCAGGTTTCAGTAAGAGTAGATGGATGGAGCGGGAGAGAAACAGATTGAAGTAAAGGACCAAGCATCCCAGAGGGCACAGTGGAAGGGCTGTGGGGAGTTAGGCTGGAACTTCAGGGTGGGAGGTTGTGGGGATGGGCAAGGGGAATCAGGTGGGAGGAAGTAGGTTTGGGTCCTAATCTACAGATGAGTCACTGGGATGTGAAGGGTATGACCAGGTGTGGGGATGGAGGGCACCACCCCTCTACCCTCCCAGGACTGGCACAGCAGGAGATGGGAAGCCTGCAGTCAGGGGGAGGGCTGCTGTGCCCTTTTGGAAGATTGGGCTGGTGCAGGAGGGAGAAGATGCAGGGCTCAGGGCACTCTCCGTCTGAGGTCTTCTCCCCTTCCGAGGCTGGCCACGAGGGGGCAGCAGGAACTGTCCAGGCTCCCTGTACAGAGGAAAGCTTTGAGGCAGCTGGAAGGTGCCCCGCCTGGCCTCTAGAAGCCTTTCCTCAGGGGCAGGCTTCTTGGCATGGAATTGTGGGGTTGGAAAGAATCCAGGGTTAGCAGGCTAGAGATTTGGACATGTCTGTTCTCCACCCGGCATGGGCAGGCCAGTTCCCTCGCTGGGACTCAGAACGTGTAATCTTCAGGCAAGTTCTTCACTTTGGTCCTCTGGGACATCAGACAGATTCCTGGCTCACGCACCCTGTCTCTGAGTGACTTGGCGTCCTGAAGAGCAGGGCTTGGTCCCACAGGGATAGGTGGGTCCCTTCCCTTCCGGGGACTTGTCCAGCTCCTTCCTCTGTAATCCTAGGGGCATGGACCCCAAGTCCTCCTTTGGCTGCCTCCACCCCGACCCTAGGCCAAGTGCTCACCTGTCCCCTGTGCTCCCTACCTCGGTGACATTCTTCGTAACTTTGGCTTCCAAATCATATCTCTCTTCATCCACCTTGTCCACTCTGGCATGAAGTTCCCGACACAGCTCCTGAGGGAAGAGGGGAGGACGCCTGGGTCCCTACAGGGTATCTTCTGGGGGCTCAATGCCAGACACCCCGGGCGGGGAGTAGGATGGAGACGGCCCCTTGGATCCCTGATGGAGGCGGGGAGGGGGATTCAGGATCCCCGTGTCTCCTAATACCTGCAGCTCGGCGACCCCGAGCCCGGCCAGCTCCACGGGAGCACAACGCTCCCCGAGCACGCGGCCCTTCTCCCCACGCCGATCGTCCCCCTCTCGCTCCAACTCCTGCTTGGCGATCTGCAGCATCAGGGTCTGAGGAGGAAAGAGAGCCCAGCTGGGAGGCGAGCGAAGCCACTGCCGAGGGAAACTCCCTGTCTGCTGCCCCTCGGCCGGGCTCTCCGGCTCGTGCACTCCCAGCACTTCCCACGGGCGGCTTGAGTGACTGTCGGATCGCTCCCTCCCAGGCCCCGCCCCTCACCTTCAGCTGCAGTTTCCGAGAAGCCGAGATCTTGGACTTTTTCTGCGGGAGGCAAAGACAGGGGTCAGGATGGGGAGGGGAGAGAAATCGAATCTGGGGGGAAGGGGGGGCTGGAATTCAAGGGTGGGGCAGAATCCCCAGGGAGCAGTTAGAATTCGGGGCGGGGCCAGAGGCCCACGAGGTGGGGTATTGTTCTGGGGCAGGGCCAGAACCCCAATGCCCCTACAGAATCGGTCGTGGGAGGGCAGGGCTCCAAGGATCCCAAGGGCCCAGGCCCGCCCCCACCACCACCACCACCAGAGCTCACACCCCGCACTCAGGCGCTGGCTTCTCACCTTGGCGTGAGGCTCGGTGGCATAGGCGCGGTAGTTGACTGACGAGCGACGTCGAACTGGGGGTGCCGCCGGGCTGGGTGCGGGTGGCGATCCCGCCGGGAACTGGAGGAGACCCGGGTCAGCTGGGCTCCGAGGCCCTACGCCCGAAGGGTCGTCTCTTCGAGGAACCCCAGGGCCCCGCCCCCCGCCCAAGGGAGGCCCAGGCCTGCAAGCCTCCACCCCACGTCCTCCAAGTTCCCGATGTCCTCATCCCATCCCGCTCCCTCTTTAGGGATCCAGGAGTCCCTGGCCCCCAGCTCCGAGGCCCCCTTCCCTTCTCTCCTTTTCTCACCGTGTCTCTGCTCCTGTAGAGAGAAGGGGGGGGGTGTTACTGCACTGGTGATGGGCAATCACCTTGCCTCCTCCCTGCCCTCTCAGGTCCAGGACAAACCAGGACGAGTTTAATTCCACACAGGGACCTTGGTCTTGATTCCCGCCCCTCCAGGGACCCAAGCGTCCGTGCCACCGAGACAACACTCACTCCTCTGCCATGTTGGAAGGGCACTGGACGAGTCTCCCGGATGACCTTGGGGGGCTGGGGTCTGCTAGCTTTGCTCTCCTCAGGCTCCTCTGGGAACACTGCGATAAAAGCCGAGCCTGAGGCTAAATATACTGTCCGCTGGGGAGATAAGGGGGCGCCGAGGGGGAGGGAGATGCCCGTGTCTGTCCATTCCCTCCCTCTCTCAGTCCCACCTCCATAGGGAGCCAAGAATCCCGATACGCCAGCCCCTCCTCCCTCACGGAAGCAGAGGTCCTGATCATCTGACCCCCGCTTCTGGGGACTCAGAATGTTCTCGTCCTGTTTCCTCCTCCCTACGCAACCTTGAGCCGCATCGCATCTTATCTCTGGGACCCAGGGGTTCTCTTTCCCTAGAGCCTTCCTCTTCGGGGCCTAGACTTCTTAGTCCCCAACCCATTCTCCCTTGGGGACGCACCGGTTTGGATTCTCCAGCCCCTCCTCCCTTCAAGGCTAAGGCACCTTGAGCCTCAACCTATTTGGTCCCTGAAACCCAGGCGTGTTGCTTATCTAGCGCATTCCTCACTCCGGGACGTCGTGAAACCCAGACCCTCCTCCCTCTGGAAGCAAGGTATCCTGAGCCCCAGATCCATTTTTCTTGGGGACCCAGGAGTCCTGAGAGCTATCCTCTGTCCTTAAGGCGGTGGCGACGTGCCGCACTCCCCCTCAGATCACAGACTTTTGATAGGGTCCGACTCTCTTTATTCTAACAAGTCCTGACTCCCTGGGAGGTCAAAATCCTGCGAGCCTCAGAATTCCAGGGAGCAGGATCAGAATTCTGGAGCCAAGATAGTCGTGGACGGTGGGGGGAGGGGCAGGGAGAATTCGGGGACCAAGGGGTCCCAGCTAGAATTCAGCGGTGAAGTCAGGGTCCCATGAGCCTGAGGATCCGGAGCCAAACGCGGAATTGTCGGGGGCGGGGGAGGTTCGGAGATGCCGAAGGTGGGGTCAGAGTTTTGGGGAAGAGAGGTGACCGGGCTTCCCAGAGGGCATTCCAAGATCATCAGGACCCCGGGCAGGGCTCAGAATGCCAGAGAGGGAGGGGTCGGAGTTCCCAGGGGACGGAGTCAGAATTCCAGGGGCCCTAGCTCCGCATCCGTAGGCAGGCTCAGAATCTGAGGGCGGAGTCATGGTGTCAAGGGGCCCGCTCAGCGTTCCCGCTACGGCAGGACTAGCGGTTGGTCTAAGAATGCCAGAGGGTGCGAGCTCCGAATCCTCAAAGGGAGGGGTCGGCACAGCAGCATCCTCATTTGACGATGGGCTCAGAATTTCAGAGGGGGCGGACTCTGAATCCTCAGGGGGCGGGGTTAGCACAGGAGCATCTTCATTTGACGATGAACTCAGAATTTCAGAGGGGGCGGGCTCAGAGGCCCCAGGAGGCGGGATCAAAACCTCTGAGGGAGGAGTCAAGCTATCAAGGGGCGGGGCTTCGGCCTTCTGACATACACACGAGGCACCCTGGGGAGGTGGGCCATCTAGGCCCGGCTGGGGCTTGCGAGAGAAGCGGGCGAAGGTTTCGGGGGGACCCTCGTGGGACTCTGGTACGAAGCCAGCAGCCTCAGCCAGCTCCCGGACCCGACCAGAGAAACTCTCTAGCTGGTTAGGCCGCAAGTCCACAAGGTACCTGAGGACGGATGGGAGAGAGTCAGGGAACCAGGAGTCAGGGCTCCCAGGTCGTGGCCCCCGCTCCCTCAGCACCCTGGGCGTGCGGACAGCACTCACCTAGCCAATTCCACCACCAGGCGTCCCCCAGGAGCCACGCAGGCCCCCAGCTCCGGGCTCAGCTGGTGGACCATCCTGCAGAAAGATGGAGAAGGACGAATCAGGACACCTGGCTCCCCAAGCACCAGGAGAAGAGGGCTGGAGAACAGTGCTCCTAGGTTCCCCGAGGGAGGAGAGGGCAGGGAGATCTGTGCTCCTGGATCCCTGAGACACGAAGGGCTGGAGATCAGAACTCGGGTCACCGAGGGAGAGGTCTGAGGGATCGGGACTCCTGGGGTCCCTGGGAGAAGAGGGCATGGGGTCCAGTGTTCCTAGAGTCCCGGGAGGAGAGGGCAGAGGGATCAGTGCTTCTATGTCCCTGAGGGAGGAGGACCTGGAACAATCAGGATGTCTGGGTGTCCTCCCCTCCCCCCCGTTTCCTGGAGAAGAGGCCTGGGAATCTGTGCTCCTGGGTCTGTCAGAGACGAGGGGCTGGGAATCGGGACACCGGAATCCCTGAGAGAGGAGGGGGTGAGTAATCAAGACGAATGAGTCCCTGAACAGATAACTGGGGGCTCAGAGCACCCGAGTCTCTGAGAGAGGAGGAGAGGGCTGGAAGAACCAGAACACCTGAGTCTGAGGGAAGAGAGGACGGGAGATCAGCACTTAGGATTGACTGGGGTGAAGTTTAGGGGATCAAGATTCCCTCTGGAAGGGAGAAGATAACGGGGCTGACGGTTCAGGACGCCCAAGTCCCTAAAGGAAGAGAAAGAGGCGACTCAGGCCGCCTGGGTGGGAGGGAGGAAGGGCTTAGGGCCTTAAGACTGACTACTGGATTCCTGAGGCGGCCTGGGCTAGCGGAGCAGGGGAACCAGCCCTCAGTTACCCGCAGGACACGTAGAGAAGGTGAAAGCGGCTGCAGAAGCGATGTCGATGGTGCAGGGTCGGGGCGGCCCCCAGGGGCAGGAAGTGGACCCGGAAAGGTCTGGAGCTCGCAGGGTCTGAAACCGAAGGAGATCGGGAGAAAATAAAAGAGAGGCACGCAATGCCAGAGAGAAGGGGAAGGAGGAGAAAGTAGAGGAAGAAGAGGATGGCGGCGGGGACACCACACCTCACTTTCCTCGGAGCCCTCGCACTACCAGCCTTGCCTTTCCTGTCCTGTCCTGTTACACACATATACACACCACAAATACGCACAAGACCCTTCTCCAACCTCCAACCCTGGCTGAGAAAGACTTGGGAAAACTTCTAGACAGGACTCTGATCTTCCCTCCCTCTAGTGCAGGTGTTGACCCTGACCCTCCACGTGTCCTTGGGCTAGTTCTATCCCTCCTCTTGGCCTCAGTTTCCCCTCTGGGAATCCAGATGGTCTCTAAGAGCCCTAAGTGGGGGAGAGGGAGCTGCTAGTACTTAGAAGAAGGAAAGTTTGGGGAGCCTCCTGTCCCTTCTCACCAGAGCCGGGGGCCCTGCCCTCTGCCTCGACCTCAGGTTCGGCCCCAGACACCTCCTTCCCGGCTGCCACTAGGCTTCGAAACAACGAGGTGACGTTGTGCAAGGAGATCTCACCAGCGCACTGTGGGAGAGATGGGCAGTAAATGTGGGCGGGGCCTAGAGAAATGGGCGGAGCCATGGAGTGGAGCTGTTGGGGGTTGGGGGACCCGAGAAAGGGAAGACTCTGAGAAAAGGAGAGAGACATAGATGGGGATGGGGCCTGAAGTTCTCCCGGCTTCCAGAAGATGGAGAGATACTGGTACCATAGACCTTGAGTCCGAGAGAATCACAAAGCCAAAACGAGAGAGTGCCAGCGACACTGAACTTGAGAGACAGAATCACTGAGAGGGGGAAGAGACAAATAGAAAGACTCAGAGGGGGATGGAACCAGAGATTCTGAGTGTAAGAGATAGAACCACTCAAGAGGGGGGAGGAGACAAGGATACAGGGAAAGAGAAGCAAGAGATAGAGTTAAGAAGGCCTTAGATCTGCCGACAGGACAGAACAAGAGGAAGGGAGAAGCCCTGGAGGTGGGGCCCAGGCGGACACCTTGACGGGGGTTCCGTTGCGGGTCAGCAGGAGACTCTGATCATCGGACTCGATGCCAAAGGCCACGAAGGGTCCGGTAGCCACATCCCCCCAATAGCCTCGCACAGCCACTCGCTCACCACGCTGAGGTTGGAGGAGAGACATTGCTCAACTGTTGGACATCTGAGTCCACAAAGAGACTGAAGTAGGGACACGTGTCCTCTAAAGTCGGAAGCTTAGAATGTGAACTACTGGGACCTTGAGGACAAAGGGCTGGGAACCTGAAGGCCCAGCTCCCCTGAAATAAAGGACTGAGGCGGGGAAGACCAGAACTCCCTCGGACCCTTGAGATAGTGGACGGAGACCAGAACTTTTGGATCCCCTGAGATGGTGGACAGGGTTAGGGTCCCCTGAGATGGTGAGTGGGGCTCAAGACTCCTGGATCCCCAAGGCTGGAGGGGACAGGGGGACTGGGCCCCCTTGAGATGAGAAATTGGGAGATGAAGTCTGGTTCCCCCAGCGCTGAGAGATGGGAACAGGCCTAGAGCACGCACATGGCTCATCAGACGCCCAGACGCCAGGGTCCGGTTTGGGAGTTGATAGGCCGAAGCATCCCGAATCTCGAAGGCCACACTGGTTTCCCGCCAGCGACGAAACTCTTGGCTGTTGATGACCCGGGCCTGAGAGGCAGAGGAAGAGAGGAGGGGCTCAAGGGCCCAGGAATCCTCCCCACATCCTTGACCTCCCCACCTCTTCAGGAAGGTAGGCGATCAGCCTCCCAATCCCTAAAGCGGCCATATGACCCAGTGCGGAGGAGCCTAAAACTACATTTCCCAGGAAGCTCCGGGAGAAGCTTAGGAAGCCTTCCAATGACATTCCCCTGCTGCCTGCTGGGAATGGTAGTTCTTTTCTTCTCACAAGCCTCCTAGGGACCCCGGCCGTCCAGGAGCGCTCACCCCTCGGTCATGCAGCTTCATATGCAAGTCCCAGTCGCTGACCCCCCGCCGGGCGTCGTAGCGGGAGCCCAGATAGCCTCGGAGTCGAGAGTCCCACAAGCGGCTCAGGGGGAAGGAGGCCTCGGCCTCGGAGGCTGCCCAGAAAATGAACACGGCCTCCAGCGAGTCCCGCTCCCGAAACTGAGGGTAGAAAGAGACGGGACTAGATGGGGATGGGAAACTGGCTCAGGAGGCAGGGACCCAGAAAGCAAAAAACTAGGATAAGGATAAGCAGAGCTGGAATGGAAGCTTTTCCAGGGCAGGGACTAACGCTGGACTTTCGCCTTTGAATCCCCAGTGCCCAACCCTGAGCCCGACCCATAAGAGGTGCTTCAGAAGTGTTTTCTCTCCATCCATCCATCCTTCACTCATCCATCCACACATGCACCCATCCTTTATTCATCCATCCCTCCATCCTATCAAGGACAAGTACAATTACTGCCGCTGCCCTTGGATTCCCAGTGCCGAACCCTGAGTCTGACCTATAAAAGTCACTTCATAAACACTTTCCATCCATTCATCCATCCATCCATTTCTTGAGATGAGTAGGGATAGGAGGGCTAATAATCTATTTGAGGAAAAACAAGAAAACCAATCTAACTGGACCATAGTGGGGTGAATAACGAAAACTAAAGCAGAAAGGGTAAGTTGAGGCCACGTGGTGAAGTGCTTTGACTGTCAGCTAGAAGTTTCTCTTGATCTTAGAGGTAACAATAAGCCATTGGATCTCCTGGAGCAGGGAGTGACAGGGCCGCATTCGTGCCTCAGGACCATCACTTTGGAAGCCATTTGGAGGATGAACTCGATAGGGCAGAGATTTGAGTCTGGGAGCCCTGTTAGAAGGCCATCGCCCTGGCCAGAGTGAGAGGTGATGAGGCCTGAAGGAGGGTATTGGCTTGGAAGTGAAGGGAAGGTAGAGATGAGAAAGAATTTGGAGGTATGGCAGATTTGGCTAGTGCTTGGAAGAGGAAGAAGAGACAGAAAGGAGTGTCCCCCTCTATAGCCCCAGGGCTGTAGCTGAGCACCCCCACCCGGGGCGCTTGGCGAGTCCCTGCCCTGCCCCCCCCCCCAACCTTGAGCGCTTCCAGGCTGAGCTGGGGAAGCTGGGCCGCTAGGTCATCCGGCTCAGGCAAGAGGCGGCGCATGCGCTGAGACTGAGTTCGAACGTACTCGGCCACCTGGGTCCGCACGAGCCCGTTCCCCCATAACTCCAAGAACATCTCGCTCTTTTCTGGGGGGAAGGGGGAGAGGGCGGCTGAGAGCAGGGACTGCTGGGTCCCGGACGGGGAAAGGTCAAGGAGCAGGGACGCCTGGGCCCCCAACAGTATGGGGGCTGGGAGCAGGGACGCCTGGGTCCCCGATAGATGGGGCTGGGAGTAGGGATTCCTGGGTCCCCAAGAGGGCAAAGACTGGAAACGGACTCTTGAGTCCCCGACTGCAAGACTAGGAATAAGGATTTCCGGAATCCAGACGGGAGCTGATTTGGGAGCTGGGACGCCTGGGCCCTGGAAGGGGGCAGTCTCTGAGAACATGGACGCCTGCCTCCCTGAGGGAACATCCGGATGCTTGGGCCCTGGGCTGGGTTGGGGATATTGAACCGCAGCCTCCGCTGGGCTCACCTTGAAGGCCCATCTTCTCCGGAGGCTCGAAGGCCAGGTTGAGGATTAGAATTTGGCGGGCCACCGCCTCCAGGTTGTTCTCCAGTACGAAGAACTGGGATCAGTCGTGAGAAAAGATGGGGAAGCCCAGGATCAGGGATAGCGGTCAGTCCCTGCCCCCTCCCCTCCCAGGGGGCCTCCTTCATCCAAACCAACTGGCACCTCCCAAGTAGTCTTTAAGCGTCTACTGTGTGCTGAAAGTATGCTCCGCACTGGGCATACGGAGACCAAAAGCAGACGTGTCCCGCCTCCACCCCCTGTCGCACGACCCAGGACCCATCCCCAGCCCCCTCGGGGAGCCCTGCTCACGTTGAGCCTCCGAAGGGGCCAGAGCTGAGCCTGGGCCAGGGTCCGCAGAATATGCCGTGCGTCCACCGAGCCCAGGAGAAGAATGTCGAGTTCCGGGGGGTCCCCGGGGCTGGAGGCATCGGGAGGGCCTGGGATAGGGACAGAGAGGATTTCGGATCACACGCCTCGCCCCTCGGTCGGGCTTCCCTGCCTCCCTCTCCTAGCCCTGCCGCTCTTCCCAGGCCCCTAGCCAACCCAGCCCAGAGGCTTCTTAGGACTGAGCCAAAGATCCGGGGGCTCACACTCGGCCTGCAGATCCAGCGCTGGGGACAGGCCCCACCAGGCCACCGAGCCGAAGCCTTCGCCCGAGCCGGTCACGGTAGTCATCGCCCTTCGGGGGATAGCTCCCAAGCTAAGCGAGGATCTCCAAGCACTGCCCAGGAGTCCGAATACCCCGCCTCCTGCCTACCTGTGGACTCCCCTCAATCCCCGCTGCCCGTCCCGCCCCTCTGTTCTGTTCTGAGGGTTGAGAGGGGACCGTAAACCGATATACCGAGCTAGAATTCTCATAAACCCGGGTGCGGACCCTGGAACCCTCCCCCTCTATGCGGCCGCTCCCCTCCTAGGATGCTGGACGACTCTCCCCCTTCTTCCTCCCCAATCCCTGCCTCAGGGTTCCCCGCACTCCGAGAACCCCCAATTCCCCACCCCACCCCTCCGCCCTGGGGCCCTAAAACCAGTCTCTCGCTCCTTTTTGCCCCCTCAAAGACGCTTCTCCTCTCCGGACCCGCCCCTTCCAACCAACGGGTCAATGGAAGCTCGCGGTGCCCCACTTGCCGGCCAACGGGAGCGCGCGGTGGGGGCCACCAGGCTCCTCTAGCGTCGGAGAGGACGCGGTTGCTCCTGGCAGCGTAAGAGCCAATGGTAGCGTGTGGTGAGGCCCACGGGGCGGGGACCGAAGGCAGACCCCAGCTGGGAAGTGGTCGCCCCTGGCAACGGTCGGGCCAATGACAGCCTGGATTCGAAAGACTAGAACCCGTTACCCCAGGCGACTCCAGGTCCAAGGTAAACGCGCGGCGATGCAGTCCCTGATCACCTCGCAGTCAGAGCTAGGGTTAGCCCAATGGCCTCCTCCCTGGGCTCCCTGCCTCCAGGCTCTCCCCGTCCATCCTACACTCAGCCGTCGGCGGCATTTCCTAAAGCGCATCCCTGATCCTGTCCCTCCGCTAATCATTGATGCCTCCGGGAGTTTGAGGCTGTATCAATTCCCCTCTTTCTCCCTCTTTCCTTCGCTAGCTGTTCCTCGTACAGAGCCATCTAGCGCCTGCCTTGCACAACTGGCTTCCCAGATCGGTGGGTGTGTTTTCACCCCCTAGGGCTAGCTCCAAAGCTTAGCCCGGGTGCCACCACCTACCTCTCAGGGTTGTTATGAGCATCCTACAAAACGATGTACATATTAATAAACAAGAGCGTTGTGAGGTGTAAAATGGACGAGTTTGAGTAAATTAAATTAGAAGGGGGTTGTAAAAATGTAGCCAAGATTAGAAGGAAAGCAGAAAATGGGGGGAGGGGATTTATAGACAGTTTCTCAGATAAAGGTCTCATATCTCAAATACATAGAGGACTTCGTCGAATTTATGACTATGAGTTATTCTCCAGTTGATAAATGGTCAAAGGATATGAACAGGCAGTTTTTCAACGAAGAAATCAAAGCTATACATAGTCATATTAAAAAAAAGCTCTAAATCATTGTCTATTAGAGAAATGGAGATTAAAACAACTTTGAGATATCATCCCACACCCATCAGACTGGCTAAAATGGCAGGAGGGGAAAATAACAAGTGTTGGAGGAGATATAGAAAAATTGGGACACTGATACACTATTGGTGGAATTGTGAACTGATCCAACCATTCTGGAGAACAATCTGGAATTACCCCCAAAGAGTTATTAAACTGTTCATAGTACACACACATATATGTGTGTGTGTGTGTGTGTGTGTGTATACCCTTTGACCCAGCAATACCACTATATGATATGTTTCCCGAGGTGATAAGGGAAAAAGGAAAAGAACCCATGGGTTCCAAAATGTTTATAGCAGCTCTCTTTGTGGTGGCAAAGAGCTGGAAATTGAGGGGATGCCTATCAACTGGGGAATAGTTGAACAAGTTGTGGTATATGATTGTGATGGAGTACTACTGTGCTATAAGAAATGATGAGCTCAATGAATCAGAAAAACATGGAAAGACTTGAATGAAATAATGAAGAGTGAAATGAGCAGAAACAAAAAAAAACATTGTAAACACTAATAGCAATATTGTTCAAAGAATAACTGTGAACCACTAAGTTACTCTGAGTATTATAAATACTCAAATCAACTACAAAGGACCTGTGAAGGAAGATGTTATCCACCTCCAGAGAAAGAAATGATAAATAGAAGTATACATAGTATGGTTTCACATATATTTATAAATCTGTGTCAGATGGTAGCCTCTGGTGTGGGTTGGGGAGGGAAGGAGGGAGATAGTTCAGAACTTAAAATTTAACAAAAACAATCATACACATATATGTACATTACTTTGCAAAGAGCTATGTAAATGGTAGCCATGATTTTTAATGTGAGTTTGTGTTTACTCATTTGTGTATATAGTGTACCTACTAACACACACACACACACACACACACAGCTTCTTAAGGTAGGTACTGGTTTATTTTCATCTTTGTGTTCCTAGTACCTAGAGCAGTGCCTGGCACATAGTAAGTGCTTAAAAAATGTTTGCTGATTGAAATGGAACTGAAGCAATCATGTCCCCATTCCAGCCTTCCTGGCTTCTGAGAATTCAGGTCTCCTGTCCCTTCCATTATCTTAAGCATCTCTTCCCCTCCAGCCCCCTAGTGACTGAGAGGTCACAAACTTTGAGCCTCTACTCCCTCAATCCAATCCCACAAGCATTCATTAAGTACCTACTATGTGCAAGGCATTAAACATAAAGAGATATTAAGAAGACATTTCCTATCCTCCAAAGGAATCTGCATCCTACAGGAGCGGGGGGGGGGGGGGACACACAGAGAATCATAGATTTAGAGCAGAAAGGTATGTTAGAGATCATTCAGTCCAACCCCTTCATTTCGGGTAAGCATCTGAGACAGGATATGAACCCAGGTCTTCCTGACTTCTGGTCCAGTGCCCTGCCTACTATGTCAAATTGCTAACATATCTTCAGGTCTTTTTTGAAGGAAGAGAGCACTAACACCAGAGGGGAGAGGGAGAGGCTCACTCATTGTAAGACTTAGTACATGAGCTGAGCCCTGAAAGAAGGGAAGAATTCTAGGGGCAGAAGTGAGGATGGAGTGCATTCTGGGAATGGGAGACAGCCTGGATACAGGGACAGGGGCAGGAAATAGAGTGTCCTCTATGGGTAAGTAAATCAAGGTGGCTAAAATGTAGACTGTACGAGAGAACAGTGTGTAACCAGCTCTGAGAGACAGGGAGGAGCCAGATTGTGACCACCTTCAAATATTAAACAAAGGAGGTGTATCTCATCCTAGAAGCAATAGGAAAACCCTTCAGGTTGTGAGCAGAGGCAGGACGTGGTCCATTTGGGTTTCAGGAAGAATATTTTGATAACTGTGTGGAGGTCCCTGTGTGGACTTTGGCCTGAGCCCTTTTCAAGCTGTATGATTTCATTTGGTAATCTCATCAGCTCTTTTGGTGCCAATAATCATCTCTATGCAGGTGACTCTCAGATCTCCTTATCCAGCCCTGACCTCTCTCTAATCTTCAGTCCCTGTCTCCAATGGCCTATTGGACAGCTCAGAGTGGAACTCTCATAGACCTCTTAAACTCAACCTGTCCAAAACTAAACTCATTATCTTTCCTCCCAAACCCTCCCCTCTTCCCAATTTCCCTATTACTATAGAAAGCACCACCATCTCCCAGGCTTACAACCTAGGTATTATCCATGACTCCTCACTCTCACCCCACTACATATCCAATCAGTTAAGTCCTTTGATTTCTGCCTTGGTGATGTCTCTCCTATATGCCCCCTTCTCTCCTCTGACACTGCCCCCCACCCTGGTGCAGGCCCTCATCATCTCACCCCTGGACTATTGATGCAGATTTCTGGGGGCTCTGCCTGCCTCCAATCCAGCCTCCACTCAGCTGTCAAAGTGATCTTCCTAAAAATGAGAGTCTGACCGTATCACAGACCCCTCCACTTCTCCTAAACCACAGTGGTTCCTTATTACCTCCAGGATCAAATATGAAATTCTCCATTTGGTTTCTGAGCCTTTCACAACCCGGTTCCTTCTTATCTTTCCAGCCTTCTTATTCTAGTTCCCTTCCACTGGATTCTGGGGCTGATGCAGTGACCTCTACTGTTCCTTGAACAAGACGCTTCATCTCCCACTTCCAGGCATTTTCCTGGTTGTCCCTCATCTCTACTCCTGGGCCCCCTGGCTCCTTTCAAGCCTCAGCTAAATTCCCACCTTTTGCAAGAAATCTTCCTGACCCCCCTTAATGCCAGTGCTTTCTCTCTGAGATGACATCCTGCACATGTGGTTTGTTTGGGGCAGCTAGGTAGGGCAATGGAAAGAGCACTGGCCCTGGAGTCAGGAGGACCTGAGTTCAAATCTGGTCTCAGACACTTGACACTTACTAGCTGTGTGACCCTGGGCAAGTCACTTAACCCCATTGCCTAGCTGAAAAAAAAAAGATATGGTTTGTTCGTACATTGTCTCCTCCATTAGACTGTGATCTCCTCAAGGGCAGCGACTGGCTTTTGCCTTTCCTTGTATCCCCAGCACTTTGCACAGTGCCTGGTATACGGTACAGAACTTAATAAATGCTAGTTTAGGGATTGGCTGCTTGAGTATAGACGGACTGGAGAGGGAAGAAGCTGGATGATGATCATCCAGGTAGGAGTCAAGTGGCAAGCCAGGGGGACCTGAGATAGGGCAGCAGCCACAAGAGTGGCCAGAAGGGGGAGGACGTGAGAGACACGGTCTGAGGAAGAAGGACAAGGCATGTCTGCTGGAGATGAGGGGCGGGGGAGGCATCCGAGGGAAGCCATGGCTGGCAAGATGGAGGATAGTGGAGTCCCTAAAAACAACAGGGGAGTTAGAGAGAGGCACGGGGAGACAAAGAGTTCTGCTTTGGGCGTGTTGAGTTGGAAGCACCTGTGAGACACGCATTTAAAAACGTCCAATAGGCAGCTGGTGATGCACAATTGCTCTGTGTGTGTGTGTGTGTGTGTGTGTGTGTGTGTGTGTGTGAGAGAGAGAGAGAGAGAGAGAGAGAGAGAGAGAGGAAGAGAGAAGGGAGAGAGAGACAGGGAGAGAAAGAGAGAGACAGGGAGGAGAGAGAGAAGGGAGAGAGAGACAGAGAAAGAGAGAGACAGAGAAAGAGAGAGACAGGGGAGAGAGAGAAGGGAGAGAGAGACAGAGCAAGAGAGAGAAAGAGAGAGATGGGGGAGAGAGAGAGAGAGAGAAAGAGAGAGAGAGAGAGAGAGAGAGAGGAAGAGAGAGAGAAGGGAGAGAGAGACAGGGAGAGAAAGAGAGAGAAAGAAAGAGAGAGACGGGGAGAGAGAGAAGAGAGAGAGAGAGAGAGAGAGAGAGAGAGAGAGAGAGAGAGAGAGA